AGGAATGCCTGTCTTTATTTCAAGTGTAAATTCAAAACAAATTAAATGGTTGTTTTGATCTAATAAAGTTTAGTTAAGTCCTAACTTACTAGTTCTCCCAACTTATGTCCATGTTATATAAAGGTCTCTTTGACGAGTCAAAATTACGACACAAATCATCTCTTGAACTAGTAACTTCAGGACTCATGGGGGGGACGGGGGTAAGTATATGATTTCTGACTGTGACATGGTCTTCTTTCAGGCCACAGTGACATTCTTCATTATACAGGGTATAAGAGATGATAACCCATCTGAAGTTAAGAGCAAAAGAGAATGCTTTCCAGTATGTGGTTTTCTTCTGAAACAAATATTGAGTAGTGAAAAACTGAAAAGAGTGGTAACAAATGTCTTGGAAATTCTCCAATTTATACAAGGCAGGAAACTGTAAGACTATTTTTACTGGGTTCAAAAAACTGAAGTCTTTAAAAAAATCATAGTTGGTTGGAAATGTTCTCCTTTACCTGGATAATATAGTCCATCCCAATTATAACAAACTGCAACAGATTGTCTGAATTGTTTTTGATGTACTGGCTTTTTGTTCACACAGAACACTATAGTATTAGTAGTTTTTATCTTTACAGATTGCTACCCTATCAACTTTTAATTTAGAGTCTTCAAAAGTCTCTGAGGGTAGAAAACACAGTATGGCAGAGTGGAAAGAACAGGGCACGAGATTGGAGGAGATGAGATTCTACTCCTGCCTTCACTGCACTATTAACCAACTGTGAGACACAGGCAAACTCTCAACAGTTGTGAACTTTAGTTTCCCTATCTGTATTCAGGATGGGTGACCTACCCCTTTTAACCTCTTCATACAGTCTTCACAACTTTGGGAAGGCGTTGAGCTTCCACCACACACTACTGACTTATTGGTGGGTCTACAGGTAACTTTTAATTTAAAAAAATATCATTTTCTACTTCTCTAATTCCATTCTGCCAGTAACAATTCAACCAAATAGTTAAGCATGATGCCAAATGACCCACTCCTGTTCTTACATCACTTCCTCTTACTCACTTCCCAAGATGGCTCTCCTCCCTTCCAGCTTCATAACTCATCCTTCCTTCTCTAGAAACTTCATTTATTAACTATTCCTCACAGGTCACCTGACACAGCCTCGCTCAGTCTTATGAGCTGCCAGCCAAGAGAGGTTTGGACGAAGAGCGTTCAGAATCCCTGGCTTGCCATTCATTAAGATCTTCTTGCCCTAAAAATGACCCACTCCCTGAAGCACCAAGAAATCTGCAGACACTTCTCCGTACAGTTCTGTTGGGGTCAGTTTCTCTCTAGGATAGGGGCCAGGATAATTGCGATCAGTAAGTTTCATTTCTTCCCTGAAGACATCAAAGTCACCTGCCAAAAAGAACAGTGAGAAAGGGAGAAAAGGAAATAAAAGTGGGAAAAGAGGCCCTAAATGACGAGACAAGGAGAAAGCCCTATAGAGGAGGAAGAGTTGGGGAAGACGGGTGCGCAAGAGGGCGTGAGAAGCCTCTCACTCCCACCGCTGCACGGGCGGCCGGGACGTGCCACGCCACAAAGTTCGGTCTCTAACTTCGTGGGAAGTGAGGTTTGAAGAAACGGAGCCGTCTTTC